CAAACTGCGTGCAAAAACTGTTTATAAAATTAAGCATTTGATGGATATAAAGAGGACTAACATTTGCAGGTTATTTTCTCACTTGATTTTCAAATTCCCTCTGATTTTGGCACAGAATACATTATTACTTCACTTTAGACATAAAGATAATAAGGCACAGAAAAGTTCAGCAAGGACATTGTGTGGTGTTTTAATCACAACCTGGACTGCTCTTGGGTGAAGACTTTGGGCTCTGTCCTATTTCCCGCGGGGGCGGGGGGGGGAGGGCCCTATAAGGCATGCTTTCTCTTCAAAGGTCCACTTGGCTTAGGTTGGGGAATATAATATAGAGGGACATCAGTAGCAGGTGATTATTTCCAGAACTTAACGGACAGGCAGACAGGGCAGAATTGATGATTCTATTAATTTGACAGTGGATCAGCTTGAAGAGATAGATACTTATCTCTTGGGTTTTATTTAAAATCCAAAATTCAGTTTAAGGAAGAGTTAGTTTGTTCTCTTACTTAGAAAAGAATTTTTATCCTGTTAGAAAGAGGAGGAACATTCAAGAGTTACGCCAACAATCACCATGAATCAGCAACGTTCTGGGGCCCAACTCTGATAGCTGATATCAAAAGAACTTTCAACATTGCTTTGACTGACTGATTGATTTGTTCATTCATTCATTGGAGGTGGGATAGAGGAAACCCTTTTGTAATCAAAAGCTGTTTTGTGTATGTATTTCTAAAAGATGTTGGGATGTTTCGTGAGTTGGACTAGTGAAAATATTAAATAATGTTTTTTAAATCAACTGGTACAAAAGCATTGATTTAATCCTTTTTGGAGTTATTCAGATTCTATAGCTGCAAAGGTAATCTTCATTTTTTATTATGTAATAGATATCTCTTTCCATTCCTGCATTATCCCCTATCCTCTTATATAATCATACAACCACACATTCATTGCCTATAGTCAACAACACATTAACTAAGAGTATGACAATTAAACATATAATTTTTCAATTTTGACAGAATTAGATTTGAACTTCCAAAACTTATTAGCTGTGTGACTTCGAAAAACTTGCTAGTCCTCTCTCTTTGCCTGTTTTCTCATCAATACAATGCAAACATGTAAATTAAAATATTTAGTTATAGTTATACATTTGAAAATATATGTAAAGCTTTGTTTTTCTGTCATGGAGATTTTTTCAGCTTTATTGAGGTATATTTAATATACAAAAATTGTGCATATTTAATCCATCACGAAAATCAAAGTAATCAACATATCACATCCAAAAACACTCTTCTGTCCTGTTGCTTTTTTTTTTCTTTAATAGTAAGTACACTTAGCACAAAATGCCTTGAAACAAGTTTTGAAGTACACAATACAGCGCTGTTAACTATAGGAACTGTTGCACAGCAGGCCTCTACAACCTAATTCATCGTGTTACCAGTCACTTTGTAACCATTAAAGAACTCCCCATCTCTCCTCTCCCTCTCCCCTGGCAATCACATTCTATATTCTGCTTCTATAAGTTTGACTAGTTTAGATAACCTCATGTAAGTGAATCCTGCAGTATTTGTCCTTCTCTTAGCAACGTATTTCCCGAAGAATCACGCCTTCCAGGTCTATCCAGCTTATCTGTCGCAAATGGCAGGATTTCCTTCTTTTTTCAAGGATGAATGATATTCCACTGTAGGTATATACCACATTTTAAAAATCCATTTGTCTGTCAAAGGGCATATGGATTATTTCTGTATCTTGGCTATTGTGAATAATGCTGCAGTGAACATGGGAGTGCCGACATCCTTTTGAGATCCTGATTTCAATTCTTTTGGATATAGACGCAGAAGTGGGATTGCTGGGTTCATTGGTAGTTCTATTTTTAATATTTGGAGGAACATCTCTACAGTTTTCAGCATAGGGGGTGTTGTCAAAGTTGATGTTGGTATTATCAGTGTTGTAAATGTTCAAGTCATTTTTAATATCAATGATCTTTTACAGATTCATATAACAGCGGGAGTCATTCACAATAAAGTGAACTATAGACAGCAACATTGTGTAGTGCAAGGAGCACATAAGTAGGAGTCAAAATGCCTGTGATTTAGTTGAGATCATCTTGTTAACTAGTGATCCTGCTGTTTATTTCAGTTTCAACCCACAGTTCAGTCTCAGTGTGTGTATGTATGTGCATGTGTTTCCTAGCTGTTTCTAAGTATAATTTAATTCTAAAGAAAGTATGGTGTAGGCAGCAGTGCTTTTCTTAGCTGTAAAAAAATTCTATTGTTCAAAGCAGATTGTCTTCTGCCTGTTTCTACTCCCAATACTAAGTGCCTTCAAGCTCTGTAATTCTTCTGTTGTATTTCTAATTTCTTAGCACTATGGCAAGAGACAGTGCACTCACTATTCAAACAATATAAGTTCCCTTTATTCCCCTAACATTAACCTTGTTATAAAATTGCTACGCTATTGTTTCACTTTTTCAGTCCATAAAATACCAATGTGTGTTTATCTTTATGCTTATTCGATATTGGCCATGAAACACAAGAAATTCCTAAATTCAATGCCAAACAACCTTCTCTGAAGAGCACTTAACAATTAAAAACAACACTTTAAAATTGAGTTGACATGGGTTCCCACAATATAACTGATAACAGTGATTTAAAATCTTTGTTATAACTCAGAATTACTCTGTTACTGCAGATGTCTCATTTTCCTAGCAAAACACACACAGCAACAAACACCTGTCTAACTGATAGAGGACTGTAAAAAAAAAATGTTCTCTATACCTGAGCATTTATATCATTCAAACGAAGCATTCTGGCATTTCCAATTTTCTAAAAGCCAAATCAATATGTCCACGTGTCTTATAGATATTGAAAACACGGGGTTAAATCCTGTACATTTTAAAGTACTGCAGATTCATATACAAAATCAATTACTCCTACTTACTAGAAAGTGCATGAGTTACTGTTTCCTGGCAACGTCCAAACCACAGCCAGTCTACCGATGTGCGGTGCTTCCTGATTCCGCCATGCTGTGCAGCATTGAAGACATGCCCACAACATTCAGACATGCAACAGAGGTTACTGAAGCCAGGTCGCAGAGCAGGGGAGAGGAGAGGAGAAGTTTTGCAGCACTAGTTTTCAATGTTTTAAGGGTAAGAGTCTATCCTCTGGTTTTTTTAATTTATTCAGTTGAAATTAAAAATGGAGTCTTGGTGACTTTTCTTGCAATAAATATCAGGTACAGTTGTAAATATAACCGCTCAGATTAAGTTTTCATTCCCAAATACATTTTATAAGCATTGAGATGAAGAAGAAACAGTATGAATAAAGGCTTTAAATTTGGACTCCTGATTCCTACAAATGTGTGAAGATGGGAATAGGCATTTGTAAGCTATTTCAATATCAAGCTAATTAATTCATCACATTTCTTTGCTTTTGGCTGGAACGATATTAAACCAGAGTGATGGTGGATTATCTCATGCTGATTAGAAGCTCTAATTGTCACACATAGTTTAGATGAATAAAAATGTAGGACCGAAGTATTTATTTTTGAATAAAGTTTGTTAGAGGTTATGATTCAAAATGATTGTCCTTGAGAGGAAAAACAATAAAAAGAGTCTGCGGTGAGTTGAACAGCATACCCTCAAAACTCAGGTACACTTGGAACATCAGAATGTGACCTTCTTCAGAAATAGGGTCTTTGCAGATATAATAAGTTCAAGATCTCAAGAGGAAATCATCCCGGATTTACGGTCGGGTCTACCGGCAATGACCAGTGTCCTTATAAGAGGAAAGGACACAGAGGTACCCAAGGAGGGTGATGCAAAGATGGAGGCAAAGATCTGAGTGATGCACCTACAAGCCAAGGAATGTCAAGGGCTGCCAGCAACCACCAGAGGTTAGGAGACAGCCATGGGATGGATTCTCTTTCGGAGTCTCTGGAAAGGATTGACTCTGCTGACACACTGATTTTGGACTTCAGAATTCCTGAGCTGAAATAATACATTTCTGTTGTTCATACGTGCTGATTGACGAGGATAGGATTCCATGTTTGCACATTGTCTAGAAGCTCTGGCTTCCTCAGGAGCTGTCTGGAGGTACAAAATCCACCTTGCCCATGGATCTTGACTAATGATAGGCCAGAAACTGCTCAAACTTCCTATCCGGTCATTGACTTTGAGACACAGTAGTTCACACAATGTCTCAGGAGACGCTATAAGAGGCCACGCAAGCTCTGTGTTTGTTGTAAACTTATGGTCAGCTCAATAATATGCCACCATTATTTGATTTCTCTTCTTCCCTGGATCACTTTCCTTGTTCCCTCACTCTTATTTTCCTGGGCTTGCACTCCCAAAGACATTGCTTTAAAAGCCTGCCTCAGTCTCTGTTCTCTAGGCAACTGGACCGGCATGTATTGTATTCTAATAGTTACAGGAAATATGCCATCATTAATTTTATGAAATAAAATAAAAAATTCTCTAATTACTGCATGGAAACCGGGCCCAGTTTTCACAGAAAAATTTGACCTACTATGAGTTTCACCAATATTGTTACAAAAGTGAGTTTGCTTTTGTATTTATGAAAAGTAGAATAATCTGCCTGGTTATTCCCTAAGCTACTCGTCTCCACACTTTCTAACCCCATCATCAGCCCTGGAGATTGGAGAAGGCGAGATCAAAGTGATTAGATAACTTTTAAGAGTTATTAGTTAAAAAACTAAAAGTCATTATTTGATAACAGGAGCTATTGTTCAATCAGCAATGCTGAGAAACTAATATGGATTAAAAAAAAATCCACGATGCACTTATTAAGAGGATGATCCAGAAACAAAATATATAGTGAAAGCATTACAGAGAATATCAAGTTAAAAATATAAAGGTTGTTCTTGTTCAGACCAATAAATGTCACCTGCCAGCAGGAAAAAAAAATCTTCTCTTGAAGTAAGAGTGTATTTTATTTCTAAAGCATTTAGTTCATCAAAACCTTGCAAGACTACACCATGTGAACACTGACCTGTGAACAGGTACCAGAGGTTGTTCGGCTCCAGTGTTTCCATCTCACCCCTGCGGGTCGTCTTTCTGTGTCGAATTTTATAGCCCGTAATGAATCCATTCTGTGTTCCTGACGGAGGAGGCAGCCAGCTTACTTTGATACTCTGTAAAATAATAGATGCAAATGAAAACATTGGAGAAAGGCTGGACAACAAGACAGGGTCAAAGAAATGACCCAGACCTAAGTATGAGTAAAACAGGAAGGCAAGAAGTGTTAGGGATTGCCCCTTAGAACAAATTAAATCCATTCTTGTAATTTGGCAGTATTTCTTTTTGTCTAATTTTAACAACAACAACAAAACACACAATTCATTTAATTGGCTAAGTACTTTGGGAGATGAGCTAATAAGTAAAATAATAATATGTTGCCCCTGGATCCCAAAGAACTCATGGCTTTAAATATACACAGACTCACCCGCTCCTATTACCCACTACACAC